AACGTGTGTAAGGGTTAACAACACCAGTAGGGAATTGGTTATGTATGGGTAACAACGTCATAATTCTTTGTACACCTAACTAATATAACATGCTTGTTTTCTATCTCACGCAGAAGCAGTAATGTCATAGCATCCCCTATCGGATGTTGAGGAAAGTTTCTTGTTTTAATTTTGAACAGTTTGCCAGTTCAAGGGTTTTGATATTGAATTTTAGCGAAGAACTATACAATGGCTTACGTGCGCTCGGTCCACCGCGGAGAATCGCACCTAGTGCAAACTAGTGACGTTGATCATTAACAGACACTAGATTGTAATAAACGTAAATTTTAAAACATCAAATAAAGTCAAATTCTTGGTGTATTTTAACTGATTTTTAGTCAAACTCTAACTTTATTTAACTGATTTTATTCTGAAGAAAATGTCTCTTTCTGTAGGATTTAAAAACTTAACAAAATTACTCTTCATTAATAAACTACCACTCATGTTCTCGAATTTTTCGCCTTATTTTGCTGAGAATATTTAGTTTGTTTGTTTGTTTGTTTGAATTTATGCACAAAGCTTCACAATGGGTTATCTGTGCTCTGGCCACTACGGGTATCGAAACCCGGTTTCTAGCTTTGTAAATCCGCAGCCATACCGCTGTGCCACTGTGGGGGGGGGGCACTAATATCCTTGTTGTGTGTTTCGTTATAGCATGGCAAATCCGAAGACTTACCGCTGTCCCACCAGGGGACGAATATTTAGTAAAAATATGCAACGAAATTTCTCTCTCTCTAAGGATTGTAATGTTATGTATCTATCTCTCTTATTCCTTAGTTGTAAAAATCCAGTCACTTCTAGTATAGTTTTTTTTTTATCAACCATTTAATGGCTGTAGAGTTTTTACTCGGGCAGTTTGTTAGTTCAGCAAAATATTTAACGCCTTAAGACGACGACGATTCTAGGGCACAAAAATCCAAATTTTGGCCTCAGTACGTTGTAATATACCAAAATTCTTGAGTTGTTATTTCAAGTATTACAAGATGTCGCTTTTGCTGTTTGGCCGAATCTTCTAACGACTACTACGTACAACGAGGAACAGAAAAAGTGTGAACAGTTTTTGAGTTATGATCGTTTTATATACTTATTTTTAAATTTGGTGAAAAAAGGGTGATATTTAGGTTAGACGGAGGGGAGTTGCCCCCCTGTACTTAATGTCATTGTTTATTTAGGAACCAACAGCCACATATAAAATCTCTAGTTTGCGTTATTTGAAATGTTATTGAATAACATAAGAAATAATCATGGCAAGTGTTCCCAAGATATTGGTCTTGACGTTTTAACCTTTGAAAAAAACAAGACCGTTCAGAGGCCTAACTATCCTGGACCGCCAATAAAAGTGACTTCCCAACCTCAAAGAAATCTGAAGTGGCGCCCCTGCGTGAAGACTACAAACATTAATAGTTTAGTCAAACGATATTAACATTTTTTTCACAACACAAAAGTTTAAAAATAAAGAGAACTCATGATGCAACATATTTAAGTACGTAATCTTAATTAATCTTGTTTTAACTGAATTAATTCTTGGGTTACCCGACAGGGGAAAGCAGTTTATGATGACGTAAGATATATTTTTATGAAAAAAAATTACACCTTTCTGTAAAACTGCAGGGGAAAAATGATTGCACAAGAAGTCTAACTTTTTATATTAAGATAATATAAAATAATAATATAGACTTTAACTGTGAAATAAAAAATATAAATATATAATGAGTTAACAGTTTCGTACCAAAAAAAGTGAATATAGTTTAAACAAGCTTTCTCTGTACGAGCTATGAATATAACTAAATCCATGCACGTGCTTGCAACTCCTTTCTTAGAACTATATATATAGTATTTCTAATGCGATATTAGTTTTCATATAGTATTAACCATCGAAATCTTATGTAGTTGTAGGTTAATCTCAGAAAGATGCATTACCGAAACGACGAAATAAAAAAATAATTAAAAGCTAGCTATCTTCTATCAGAAACTAAAGTTCACTACAAATTAAAATTCGTTGAAAAAAACAATCAAAAACTAAACGTTAAATCTGAGAACTAGGCCAATGGCAACCTTGTTTATCGGTAGTATTGTTATACAACAAGTTGCAGTGGTATTAGAAGTAATTGTATAATTATAGTATTTTGGCACTTGTGTATAAAGT